ATATGCTTGTTAAAAAAAAAAAAAGAAAAAAAAAAAGAAAAAAAGTGGAAACAGATCAGCTTTGAGCCATAAATTCTGGGTGATAGAGGCCTTCTCCCCGCCCATTTATGTTTGCTAGATATTTTTGTTTCCACAGGAATGTCAACTCTTAATTTCATGATGTATCATGGGCTTAAGAAAATTGAATTTAATAAAGGCGAAAGATGAATGGCACCTTTAAAGGTCCCAACACTTGTCTTTATTAGCAGGACAAACTGCGGGGTCTCCAAACACTGCTTCTCTCCAAATGAAAGTTTAAATGAAAAGTACAGCAGTGTCACAGGTTAAATTTCATTGCAGGACTGGCTAACATCGTTAGTGAGGAGCGGGACTGATTTCATGGGGCTGGTATCTGTTGCCTTAGATACCAGTGGAGCAAACATTGCCAGAGACTGGAAAAATCTCGGCTACAGGGAGCATTCGGATAAACAGCCTCACTGCTCTCTTGAACCACTGACCAAATAAGCCAAAAAAAAGCTGTTGTTCCTTCTCCCAGGACATCCTAGTTGCCGGTCAGGTTGTGTGTTTTTTTTTCTCCCCTCTCCAGTCATGTACTTTTCACGGACCAGCAATAATTCTCAGTATCGTTAAATGTTCCAGGTTTTTATTCCCTCTGTCTGCTTTAATCTGACCCTCCTGAAAGTGATTTTTTTTTTTTTTTTGTCTCTGGTTCTGGAAGGCAAACAACACCTTTGTGTATCCCATCAGTGGGCAGGGCTCAGTGTCGACCCCTCTTCACCACTGGCCTGGTGATGGCCTCGGGGGTCTGTCACGTCCTTCTCATTCCCTTGGGACTTGCTGGCAGTCCTGTGATCTCCAAGCTGCAGAGGTAGCGCTGCTTTGGAGAGAGCCACACGTTCCCTTTTAGCCCTGTTACAGACCTGCATCTTCCGAGGAGTGGCCCTCGTTGGGGATGTCGGAGCCGGGGAGCATTGGAAGGGCTTGGGGCTCCGAGTAACAAGCATGGCAGGGAGGAAAGGGGTCATTGTTGGCTACCTCAGAAGCAAAGACTGTTTCCAGCCAGGACTGCGTGCTACCTTTCTGGTAATTTGGGGGGTTTTTGTTCCACTTTACCTCAAGATTAAATCTTGCTCATGGGCAAGCTTCTTGCTACGCCTGAACAGCTTTCCCTGCTGCCCGTTTAGAAGGGGAACGGGGATACCCCAGCCCTTATCCTCCCCGACCCTAAAACGAGAGAGCTTCATTGCTGAAACCAGCCCGCGTGCAGCAGTCGGGCTGAGAAATGAGGCACTTCAGACCTTGGCATGTGCTGGGGGGCAGAGGTGATGCTGGGGGGTCACGGTTACTCTCCACGCTCCCGTCCCTTGAAGTGCTTGGTGGCCCTCTTTTCTGTTGACTTGCTGTGCTTTCCTGCCACGCAGCCGACCCCTCTCCGGTCCTTTATCTGCTCTCACTGCCTTTGTGTCCCTGACGTGCGCTGGCATCCATGCCTTTCCCCCGGTTATTTAAATTATTGGTTGTTTCCGTTCACTTGCCCGTCTTCTCACCTTCCCTTTGGCTTCCAGCATGCGGCGATGTCATTGCCTCATAGGTATGACCTCACACTCATTGGGTCGGGGGGTTGCGGGCAGGGCCAGGGAGCTGCAGCAGCTCCTCCGCAGCGCCTGCGTTTTCCACATGCTAATTCTGCTCGCCAAGAGTTGCTGCTTATTTATTTATTTATTTTTATTATTTCTTATTTGTCTCTTCCAGATGTTTTCAGGCAGTTTTTTTGTTGTTGTTGTTAAACTAATTCCATTCATGTTTTAAAAATTTATGAAAGCGCTAATAAAAATGTCAAAGTGGTAAAAATGTTAGCTTTTGCTCTGCTTTGATTAAATTTTGCAAACTGTTTTTGAATATTAAAAAGCAATATTTTTTTTGATTCTCTCTCCCTCTCCCTCTCTCCAGAAGTGATTTGAGAGGCTTGTTGCATGGATATCACTCAGCAGGCTCATTTACACTCCAGAACCCTGGTGCCATGCATCTCTATTAAATAACATAGACAAATTATTCTTTAAAGACACCAAACAAATTGTCACTTCTCCTCTTACATTACGCTGAGAGGGCGGGGAGGGGAGGAGGAGGGGGGCACACACAAAGGATTTTATCGCTTTTATTCAGTGGTCTGTTCTTTTAATTCCATGTATATTTTTTAGTAATTGAGGAATCCATCCTAACGGGCTTTGTTTAAACTTTTTATTAACAGGTCCATGTAAATTTTTGATCGCTGATTATTCATGCAATTGAATGCTCTTCTGATGAGGAACGTTTTTATTTCCTTCGCAGCATAAATTGAGCAGCGAGAATAAAGCAGCACTCACCCCATCACGGCTGGGTGGCGCGCGTGGGGGAACTTCCACTGTGGCGCGGCGCAGCGCAGCGGTGCATGGGAAGAGTGGCTAGGGAGCCTGGGCTGCCTTGCAGTTGCACATCCTGCTTCTTCCTGCAGCCGGTGCTCTAGGCAATAGCCTTGAGGCTGCAGCGAGGCCCCGAGTTTTCCAGTATCCCATATCCTTCCAGAGAGATGGGAGAGATGATAGAGTTGGTCTCTGAAAGAAATGCATCCTCTCGGGTGTTTGCTGAGTGGGGTTGCATCTGTTTTGTGTATGCATCTCTCTGCTCCTCTATATGTGTGTGCGTGTGAGGCTGACTTGGCTTGTGCTAGGAAAACTTGGGGTTGCTGTAGCAAACACAGGTGTTACCAGGAAGCCACATGCATGTAGCCTTTGAGTGGGGACAGGTACTGCAAGCAGCAGCAAATGCACTGTCCTTGCTAAGAGTGAGGTTGATTAACCAGTTCAGCCGCTGCAGTTGTGCAGGTTAGACCTGCTTCTGTCCTTTCTGGACCCTCGCCATGAAATGGGGAGGGCTTTCTGGGGTATTCCTGTCTGTTGTCTCTCTATAGCAGCATGTGCTTCTGTGCTTTCTCCAGGAAATCATCGAGTTCCCCATCCTGAAGCTCAATGGCAGGACGATGGAGATAGAGTCCACCTTCCACATGTACGTGCAGCCCGTGGTGCACCCTCAGCTCACGCCCTTCTGCACAGAGGTAAAGCCCCAAGCATGCGCGGTGCATGGTGAGGCACGCTCTCGCCCCGAAACAGGCTTGCAGATGTGGGCAGGATTATCTCTGCCAAGGGCAAGGTGAATGCAGGTTGTCCCTCCAACCTTCTGCTGCTACTGCTGTTAATAGTATAGGTAATAATGATGATGATTATCACTGTGATAATGATGATGTGTGAGAGGCAAGGATCCTTCTTCTCGAAGAAGGAAAAATGCCTTGCATTCAGAAGCTTGTCTGACTCTGTCCCAACTATGCACTTGGTCTAATAAAAGCCATCACCCTAAGAAATCCTTGCCTCTCGCATCATTTCATGGATGGTCACAGCTATGACATCACTCTGACACTACCAGTAATGATAATAGCCATAACAATGGGAACTAGCTATTGTTATAGTAAGGCAGTGATTCTCTACCAGGGAGTCAGGGCTCCTTGGGGTGCTGTAACAGCCTTTCATGGCTGCCCTAGGGGAGGGGAGATGAGCAGGATATGGCTCTTTCCTGGCCCCACTTCCACCAGGTAAGCCCTGTCCTAAATACATGAGTTCTTTAAATGGGATGCTGCTACATTCACCAAGATTTTGGAGGGCTGCCTTGTGTCTCCAAAGGTTGACAAGTGTGATGGTGAGGCCTGGGAGCCTTAGCTGTGAATCATAATCATGGTGTGCTAGGTGCTGTATGTGCTTATCGTTAAAGCCCCTCCCAGGAATTCTTTTGCTGTTTGCGACTGATCACATTTGTAATGGACAAGCGACCCGGGGATTTGGGGTGTTGGTGCCAAAAGTTATGCAGAGGACTGTTGCTGTAGAGTAGGGAAAAACACGTGTCCCCTTGGAGAGGCTGGTCCTAGGCCAGAAGCAGGATACATCCCACATGAAAGAAAATAACCCTGTGCTGCACAGTCATTTCTGGCTCTTCACAGGCCCTGGGTTTGGTGGCTTGTTGTCACCGGAAGGCTTTCAAGTGCTGAGGCCATCTTTAAAGCTGTCTTTCCAGGATAGGAGAGTGGGGCTCTGGAACACTATCATTACTATAATCACAAGGGATGATTGCTTTGCTGGTTGGTGCTCCACCTTTTCCCAGAGGTGCTTATTGGCAGAGGAAAGGTGCCAGGGACGCATCTGAATTGTGACATCCCTGGCAGAGGGAAGGGGAGGACTTGCTTTCTCTTGTGTAACTCGGGGAACCAGCCAGTGCTACGCCACGGTTTTCCCTCAATGGTGCCTTCTTGCATTGGCTTTTGCTTCCCTTGCCACCACTGCCCTGGTTTGAGGCCGCCTGTCCCAGGTGAGTGTTGTGTGGAGGCAGAAGTCCTGGGTCTGCTACACCTCTGCTGCTCCTTTAGCAATCTGCATCATTTGGGGCACTTCCCTTTTTCTGTCTGTGCCTCAGTTTCCCCATGTCATGGGGCTGATACATGCATGGCTGCTGTTAGCAAAGGCCTCTGACTCATGGATGCGGGTAGCGCGCTCAGTGCCTTGCCCCTGGTGTCATCTCCCCACCCTTCCATACGCATGAGGATCATGCCAGATTGTGCTTTTGATCCCCCAGCCAGCTCTGAGGCCTGATCTCAAACCACTGACATCTGTGGTGGCAGAACCAGGGCCTCCGCGTGCCTGCCCCACGCGAGCGGACTTCTGCCCTAGGTGACCCAAGAGCTCTGTGCCGCCAGGCAGAAAACCCTGTGTCGAGCCAGGCCATCCCTGCCGCTTCCCCCATTGTGAAAACAAATGCTGTTTTGTTTTCACTCTCCCAGAACAGCGGTGCACTTGGTTCAGACTTTCCAAAAAAACTCAGCGCAGAAAACTCCATCCCCAAGGGAGCACTCTCCAGAAAGCTGTAAACACTCCAGAACAGAGGGCCGGCACAGAAACTCTTTTGCAACCTTTCCCTGGCAGGGTGGATGAGTGCTTGGGCTTTCTCTGCCCGTCCTGGACCTGCTGGGCACAGCCGTTTTGCGTGTTTTGGGATAAGCCTGGTAGCATGATTCTGGACAGTCACAAGATGTAGGTTTATAGGAGACGTTGATGATCTATCCCATGATTTTTTTTGGTTGTTTTTATTTATTGATTTATTTTTTTAATTGCAGGGAGTACCACTTTGGTGGGTGGGATTAAGGCGTTCGTCTGCTGCTTCCCACCCTACTCAGTGTTGCAACACTGCTTTTGCCCAAAAGCCAGACAGTGGAAACAGCCAGCTTTCCTCCCTCACCCCTGCATGCAGCCTGCTTCCGAACACCCCTGCTCTGCCTGCCTTTGCACTTTGGAAGTGCCCCTTGCACTGGACCTGCGCCCTGATTTAAGCTGAAAAGGGTGCAGTAGCTGTGAGTGATGTTGTCTGGCTGGTGTCACACAGAGGATGTCAGGCTAAATGCTCCCACAGGCTCCTTCTCTTCTCTGTGAACCAGTGGGGTCAAGCGCACCAGGCTTTGGAAGTCTCTTTCAGCATTAAAAGCATGAAGCTCTGACTGCATGAGGCAGGGAGAGTGGCTGTAGTCTGGAGAGTGAGCCAACCCGTGGGACTGTCTGGTGTGATCTGACCCATTCTTTGTTCCTGGTTGAGGGACCTGTGCACATGGCAAAGGCTCTGACCCCTCTGCTCTGTGGCTAGTAATCAGGGCAACGCACTCCCCCTGTCATCCACTAAAATGAACCCGGCACTTAGGGGGACCCTGTACAGTTGTCCCAGACCATTGGTCTCTGGTCTTAACTGAGCTAGTAGCTCTTGTGAGGAGCCATGTGAGCCACACACAGTGACACAGGTCGAGCCTGGGTCTGTGCTGTGGGTAGTGGCTGCGTTAGCATCATCCCAGGCCCGGATGTCACCGTTGGTGGCTGCATGCTAGCATCACTCTATGATGGATGCTTTCCAGATCCCCTTTTCAGCCTTGCCCTTTTCTCCATCCTTCCTCATCAGGGTTCTTTTCTCTACTCCCGAGTGTTCCCCCTTCACTGTCCCTCCACTCTGCTGCTGATTTTCTCAGAGGTGGAAGAAGAGCAAAATGGACCCCCTGCCACCAGCGGGAGTCTCGTTTCTCCCTTGCCGGAAGGGGAAAGATTTTGCCACAGGCTGCTGCTGAGGCTGCAGTGCAGCTCTCCTACTCCTTCAGCAAGGTCCCTTCCCACTTGTACCAAGCCCCAGATGCTCCCTTTTCCTGTCTCTGTGTGGGCGGGTGGGGAGCAGGGCCTCCCCCATCGTTCTGAGGGGCAGCTGGGGCCAGGGAGCATGGTTGCAAGGCCCCCCCACCACGCTGTCCTCCGACCAGCTGTGCTGGCTGCAGCAGGCTGTCAGCGCCGCGCTGCGGTTCCTGGAAAATGCCCATCTTGCTAAATGCCAGTAAAGGGCTTTGTCTCAGCACCTCTACTTAGCAAGGGTGAGATTTATTGGCCTCTTTGTCTACGAAGAAAGACCAGGCCTGCTGATCAGATTGTACACCAGAGACGAGTGCTTATGCAATCAGCAAACTGTCTCAGTGCAGAGAGGCGATGGTTTGTGAGATAAACTCCGGAGGAAAAGCCGTGGCGCTGACATTGCATCGCAGTCCGTCTTGCGCACCGCTTCACTGTCAGCCTTGTCTCCGCTTACTGCCTGGCAGAGACGCAGCCCATCGACAGAGGGGTGTGTGCTGATAACGGGGTGGCCTCGGGAATTGAACGCATCTGTCTCCTTATTGCCCAAGCACAGCTGAAAATGCCCCAATGCTCTGTGCTGCTAATCTATCGAGGGGGTTAGTGAGCCTGCAGGGAACAGGGCTGTCTTGAAAAACCCCTGTTGCTGCTCAAGTACAGCTGGGAGGGTGCTGGCAGCACTGGCCAGGCCGGAAAAAGCCAGCAAACAGTTGCTTGTTTACCCTGGCCTTAATCATAGCATCATAGAAAATGGGGGCTGAAGGGAGCTCAGGAGGTCACATCTAGTCCAGTCCCCTGCTCCAAGCAGGACCAGCCCAAACTACGTCATCCCAGCCAAGGCTTTGTCTACCTGGGTCTGAAGCGCCTCTAAGGATGCAGATCCCACCACCTCTCTGGGGAGCCTGTTCCAGTGCTTTATCATACTCCTTGGGAGAAAGTTTTTGCTAGTATCTAACCTCAACTTCCCTTGCTGCAACTTGAGCCCCTTCCCATCTCCAGGCTCTAAGCCCAAAGTACTTTCAGGCCCAGGAGCAGCCTAGATTCCCTGTGTACGATCCATTGGGAGCTTAGAAAACTGCTGATGCCAGATGTCTTCTACCTTCTTGTAGAGCTGTGGTGGCTGCCTCTAGAGAGGCCCCAATGCTCTCTTGACCTGCCACTGGGCTTCAGCACTAGGGAGCAGTGAAGGCAGAAGCCAGTTGGAACAGCCGCTTGCCGTTCATCCTTCCAGGGGCAGCTCTGTCTAACGCAGCAGCCTGCACGGAGCAGGCAGAGAGGGGTATCTTGGTTATGGGGCATTTCCAAGGAGCATGCTGGTGCCCAGTGCCTTCCTGGGCCTTCCAAATCGAGTGTTACAAGAAACCACCATTCGTGTGGCCGGTTTCCTTCCCCAGCTGCGTCCCAGAGTTTAGGCTGTGGCCACTTGCCGCAGAGCTGGTGCAATCACTCCCAGGGTGGAGGAGTCATGGTAGTTGTCTTTCAGGCGAGTGGTGGGATAGGCATCCACCAAGGGACGGGAGGACTGAGCCCACAAGACAAAACATGAGTTAAATCCATACTAAAGAGCAGCGCAGTTAATCTCTTACATTTATTTTCCTTTTAGAACATGGGAGTCTGTAGGCAGCAGCTGTTACCCAATTAAAATACAGATTAATATAAAAACAGTTTCAGGAATATAAGAGAGTGCCTGTGTCCCTCCACTTCCTTAAAATTCCACCTAATAATGACTTGATGAACTTCAGAAACCCACCTAGAGGAACTTGCTGTTCTTAAAATTAAAATTTCTTCCCTAAAAGGTACATATTACCATTCCATGGAAGTCGCGAAGAGAAAATAATCTTCCTGCTTATAGCTAGCTTATTCAGTGAGTCAGGTATTTGGTATTCATTAAATGTAATTACAGTTTAATTGGAGTTTAATCTTTTTTTTTTTCTTTTTTTTCTTTTTTTTTAAGTTTCAATGCTCTAAGGCAAGCAGCTAAAGAAACACAGGGCAGAAGCAGCCCAGCTTGTTTAAGTCGCCATCCATTGAGTAATACAGGGGCCACGGCTCATGCTTGGACTCTCATGCCACGAGTTGGGTGGAAGCATTTTGTAGTAGAGGAGCTGTTTCTGAAGGGTGGAGAGAGTCTCAAGAGCTCTCCCCTCCGTGGTTCTAGACTGTCGTGGTGGCTCGTGAACCTGGCTGCTGCATGCATGCACCACATCCCAGCTTTGCACCTTGTGCTACCTGCCCTTCAAAAGACAATTAGACGTGTGTGATACCCAGTAAAGCAGCGCGGTGTGCGTCTGTACTGACGGGGATTGTTTTCTTTGATTGCTCAGGTGCACTGGTAGTGAGCTCCTGACCTCTGTGTTTTCAGTCCTTTTCTTCCTTAAAAGAAGGCTTTTTTTTGGTTGTAGAGCTACAAAAAACTAAATAAAGGCTTTGCGCAGCACAAGCCCCTTCACTAGTGCACAGAAAAGGCTCTGAGCTGGTCAAACGTTGCTGCATAGGCTTAACTTTAAGCATGCAAGCAAGCCAGGCGTGATGAGTGGGTTAACAGGAGGTCTTCAAAGTTTGCAGCCCTGGGAGACCCTGCCCTGAAGGACGTATGGAAGAATAAGTGGTGGTGGAACTTTAAAGCTTCACATGCCATCATGGTTTTTGTAAATACATTGTTGTGCTGCCAGTGGTTTAAATGGGAAAACGTGCTGTGTGAAGCTGCTCCGAAGCCTTCCGCCTGCTCCTCCATTCACGGCACCAGTGCACCACCCTCCCCTTTTAACCAGAGAGGTTTATTGTGTCCACCTTTGCAGAGACGTTACCTGTCATATCAACATGTCAGAATGGCCATTTCCTGGTCAGACCCCAGGTCCGTCTTGCCCAGTCTCTGGTGTCACGCGGCGGCAGAAAGCAGAGGCTGGAAGGGAGTGTGACTGGGTCTGAGCAGGGTTTTCCCAGCTCCTCTCTCCTTTGCAGCGTCCAGCACTTACTGTCTAGGAAATTCTGATTCAGAGCCTGTGCCCCTCACTCCCATACTCAATAGCTACTTATGCCCCTTTCCTCTAAGGACGTGTCTAATCCTTTTGAATCTGGCTAAACTCGGCTTTCACCACATCTGGTGGCAATGAGTTCCACGCTTTAGTGACACTCTGGGTGAAAAAGGGCTTCCTTGTTCTTAGTTTTAAACTTACTACCTGCTCTTTTTATGTTGTGACCCCTTAGTTCTTGTCTGGTGTGAGAGAGTAAATAATAAATCCCTATTCACCTTCTCTTCAGCATTTAGTGTTTTATAAACCCTGCTCATGTTTCCCCTCAAGTGTCTTATTTCTAAACTGAACAGACCTGGCCTTTTTCATCTTTCCTTATGTGGAAGTCCCTTCATACCCCTCATCATCCTTGTTGTCCTTCATTGGACTTTCTCTAGTTCTTCTCTTTCCTTGTGGAGGCACAGGGACCAGATCTGGGCACAGGATTCAGAATGTGGATGAGCTGTGGGTGTATAAAGGAGCACAATCACTGCAGCCTGGGAGTGGCCGAAGGTGCCTAATGCAGTAGAAATGGCCTGCATGGGTTCAGGCAGCCTCAGCTGGTGCTGAAAAGAGTTTGGTGTTGAAATGGGCAGCACGCGGGGCTGTCCGCTGGCCTGTACTGTTTCCCCAGGCAGGCTGTGTTGAGTTGCAATCCTTCCAGCTGGATGCATAGGAGACCCCCTGCTTCTCTGTCTCTGGAATGAACATGTGTTTTCACTAGGCAGTTTGGGTTGCCTGGCATTGCCCAGGCAGGCCACCTGGGCACTGTGTGGTTTCAGAAAGATGGGCTAGGGTGGAGACCTCCTAACAGTCCATGTGCTGCTCCTCTGATTCCTGTGCTCTCTCCCCCTCTCCTTTGTTTCAGCTGACTGGAATTATTCAAGGCATGGTGGATGGGCAGCCAAGTCTCCAGCAAGTGCTCGAGGTAAGCAGAATAACCTTTAGTTCCTGACCCCTGACCTCTACTCCCCCTCCCACCTTCTCCCCGCGCCTGAGAATCGAACCGCGTAATTTGACTATGATTACGGCTTCATTAGAATAACATTTGCTGTCACGTCGGTGACATGCTGCTGAGAGTATTGAACCATTGATCTGTCATCTCCAGCTGTTCATGTCAAGGGTACTGACAAGATGTCCAAACTCCTGCCAGCAGACAGGAGAAGAGGCGATTTGACTTGAGCCAGCCGCAGCGTGCCAAGACATTGTTTTAGACCGCTGCAAGGCAGCTGGCCCTCCCCCCACACGGGTGGAGTGAATGCTCCATAATACACGTGGCGGAGAAGGAAAATGCCTTTAAAACCTAATCTGTGGGATGGGTGAATGAAGCTATAGCCCTAATAATGCCATCTGCTTAATGTTGGATTCCTACAGCTTTTAGGGCTTAATTAGCTTGAAAGTGTTTTTCTATCAATAGCTTTTGTTGGTCGTCAAACACCGGAGGAGCCCTCCTTGAGCTGAGCCCGCACAGGCTCCAGGTCATTGCACGATGCATTGTCTCTGTCAGGATGTGGGCCTCCTAATTGTTCCTAATCAGAATAATTGCACCAATTGCTTATGGAAGGAAATCAAATTAATGGTGTTAGCGTCCTCTGTGGGGGTGGCACTTCGTGGGCACTTACATCAGGGATTTTGGAAAGGTCACAACGGCTCTGCATCGTGCCGGGGGCCCTCCATTGTCGAGATGGCATGGCAGCCCGTGGGACGCGGGGGTGGTGTGTGCAGGAGGAGCCTGTGATGCTGATCCATGGTGAGCTGCTTGCTGCCAGGGCTGCATGGATCAGCTTCAGACTGAGCCTCTTGCCTGTTCCAGCCCCTGTCTTGAAGATGATGGCGATGAGGGGGGTTGATAGAGGTTCTCTACACCTGAACCTGATTCCCCAGCACTGTCCAGAGCAGACATGAGGGATCAGGCAGAGATGGAGCCCACTGAGGGCTGGGGATGGGTAGGAGGTGCAAGAGGACCTGGGGGGAAAGCTGTTGGGAGCCAAGGCCACACTTGATCTCCCAGAAGTGCTTGGAAGCCTTTAGCTGAGGCCACACATTTCCTAGGCCCAGCTGAGCTGGCTTCCCTTGCAATGCACTGGGTTATTTCTCCCAGCTGCTGACTTGTGTATTTTGAAGGTGTGCAGATCAGTTGTTCGCAGCTAGGCATAGGCACATCCCCTCCCTCTCTTCCCCTCTGGTCATGGCAAAAGCATCTCGAAAGGGTGAATTGTAACAGCTAAGTGACAGCAAGGCCTAAACCCCAACCCCTGCTCCTTCCCTGCCTCGGCTGGAGGGACCCCTGCCTTCTTGGAGTGGTCTGCTCCAGCCCCTGGGGCTTTCAGGGTGGGCATTGAAGACTAACCTCTGCCGTTCACATGGCATTGGCAGCAAAAGTAGCCAGGGCCCCTTGTACAGGGCTCCTGCCCTCCGACCTTCCTTGCTGCAGGTGACAAGTGCAAACTCACGAATTAACCAGCACACGGGTACTCGCATCTGAGGTGCCCCTGGTGTGGCCGCTCTTCTTCGTGAGTGAGTGAGTCTTATCCCAGAAGAGCACAATCCACTGCAGAATTAGATTCAGCTGATCCCGAAGAAGGGTGTCCACATGGGCAGTTAACCAGGAAGAGCTGCTTCACTTCAGATTCAGACCCTCTCTTACTCTGAATTAGGTGACTTGTGCCAGCAAGCCCGTGGAGCTAGGGGGAGGGGAGAAAATGTGTTGAACCCTCCACAAAGGAGGTGCACGTGCTGAGCTGGGTGGCCTCAGTGCTTGTGCGCAGGGATGTCCCTTTGCTGAGGGCCTATCCTGTGCAGCAGACTCTGCAAAGTGGTGTATCTGAGAATCCCACCCCCACGGGTTGCATTTCCTCCCGAGCGCAGGTGAGGATCTCTGATTCCTCTCCGGTTCACTCCTTTTCTTCCCATTCCCAGGCTGGGTGCTGCGGAGCCAAGGGGGAGCTTCTTGGTTTAATTTCTAGCTTCCTCTGCGTGTCACAGGGAATGTGGTTGTTTCAGTATCAGTCTCCATGGAGGGGGCTGGGGCCAGGTTGGAGAGGAAGCTGAGGCCTGTTTCAGCCTTGCTGTCCGGTTCCTACTCATAGGGCTCCCAGAGCCACTGTTGTGCCTGATAAGATCACTTCTGCTCCACGCCTGATGTGGCCTCTTGGAAATCTTCAAAGGCCCAAGTGTGCTCATGTGGAGAAAAGGAGCTCAGAGACAAGGCGAGAAGTGTGTGGGGTGGGGGCTGCCTCCAGATAAGATCACAGCTTTCTCTTCTCTGGTTCCCAGCTGCTTATCTGAGCGTGACTGTTGTGGTGCTTCCCATGCCGGCACTGCTTACCTGCTTGTCCTCTCTTCTTTACAGAGGGTTGATGAGTGGATGGCAAAGGAAGGCCTCCTAGACCCCAGCGTCAAGTCGATTTTTGTAACCTGCGGTGACTGGGATTTGAAAGTCATGTGAGTACAGCTGGGCGAGGCGCCTGTGGCCCACAGTGTGGTGTTCTCCCCCCCCCCCCCTCCACGCCCAACGAGATCCCCCTCTCTCATTAGCCAGTGGGACAGTTCGTGCAGCTCCACAAATCTGCTCTGTGTTGGGAAGAGGACGGTGCTTTTGCCCTCCCTGTTCATTCCCACAACTCACTTCTGCTGACCCTCTCCCACAACAGAGAATCCACGTTGATGCTGAGAATCCTGCAAGCTTCCTCCACCCCCTTGTTCACCATGTGGGATTGCAGGTGGGAGAGAGGGGGGAGCCTTGCACAGGACCGCTGGGCAGAGGGGTCCCTGTGTGCCTGGAAAAGGGCTTAACTGGGATGTTTCCCGTTGCATCCATTCTCCAACTCGCAGAGCAAGGACATGCCTCCCATTTCTAGCTCCTTTAGTCATTGGCTGCCTCGGTCCATACCTGATGGCCTGGGGAGCTCGGGGGATAAATAGCTTCCCTGTCCTGACAGCTGTGTTCTGTTTCCTAAGCTGTGCTGCCTGCAGCTGGCGTTGCCTCAGGGAACAGGAGCACTGCACTTCCCGTGAAGGAGAAGGAGCAAGGGGGGAGCGGGTGGTCTTAGCTTCTATATCTCTGAAGCAAAGGATGCCCCCAGGGCATCTTTCATCTACAAGGCCTTCCTTCTGCCTTGCGGGTGCACTGCAAGGGCACTAGCACATGGGTTATCATGGCAAAAGGGACTGAGAGCCAGGGGCTCAGGGCTGGCACACTCGAACTGGCAGTCTTGCTGACAGCAATCATGCTTGCAGGCTGAGCGAGTGGCCGTTTAGGTGTCTGCATGGTTATTGGCACATGTGTATTGGTGTGTCCTTCCACACACTTGCCTGTGCACATGGGGGGCTGGCTGCATACAGAAGTATCCCTGACGGTTGAAGTCAGGCCAGATCCACACTGCAGAAGTAGCGCAGTGTTGCAGCACTGAATGCCCTGGCACTCCTGTAACCTCTCAGCTGCTCTTTGCTGGTTAAGTGCCTGGTACAGGCGGCTTCTTCATCACACCGAGTAGGTTCAGGCATTGACGTGCCCGGCACCAAGCCAACATCCACTGCCCATTAGCAGTGTCACCTGGTTCTTAGCGTGACATCGCTTTCCCCTAGCGTGAAGCCGAAATAAAATGCTCACAAGCCAGGAGAACCCAGCATAGGCTCCATTTTGCTGGCTGGGATTTTGCAGGGGGCCCGCTCATTCGCTGCTTGCTTGAGAAATGGGGACTTTCTTTTCCATGCACACCTTGCAGATGCAAAGGAAGGGGTGGGCATACCAGCCAGGCATTTCTGATCCCCTCCCTTGTCTCAACTCTTTGTCTTCTGCTGGGGGGAGAGTCAGGCCCCTGTCCTGTTAGAAGGGAAGGATGGGGCTGCATCTTGCCCACGTTACAAGGTCAGTCCTGTCCCTTTTGTTGTCGTCATAAGATGACCCCGGGACATGTGCGTGCCCCCTAAGTTGGCTCCTACACAGCTCCTGGCTCTTATCGGCTCTATATTTGGGGAGTGGATGGCTGTGCCCCTTGTTTTGGGGCTGATAGCTGTTCTCCATAGTTCCTGTGCAGTGGTCTATTGTTCTGTGTTTTTTTCTAGCTGTGAGTATGAAAGGTGGCGAAGCTTGCTCTGGAGAAGCTCCCAGGGGACACAGAGAGGGGTGGAGTCCCCACCTGTGTGCTCCCTGGCCAGTGCCTCCAGGGCCAGATGCCATGGGCTCACGCTTCTCCCACCACTGGCTTTGCCTGCCATCGGGAAACCTGCTCTGATACTCTCTGGAAGCAGTTCAGGTTGTTCAGTGACCCACAGGACATGTGCCGGCTTGGGTGACCAGCATTCCCCCAAGAAGGGATATGGGGGGGACGTTGCTCTGCAGAGCAGCTAGTAGGAGGCATCGTGGTCCAGGCTAGCTCCTGGGAATCTGACTTTTGCTATTGCCAGCCCCTCATGATTCTTACTGAAAGCAGGGCTAGCCAGGAGGGCCCAATGAGTGGCTTGTTTCTCTTTTCTTTTCCTCTGTTTTAAGACCATTCACTTCTGCACTAGTGCAAAGTCCTGCACTTAAGATGGAACAGCCCCCTGCATGGGTCCAGGCTGGGGGTGACTGGCTGGGCAGCAGCTCTGCAGAAAAGGACCTGGCAGTGCCCGGGGAAAGGAAGCTGCACAGGAGCCAGCAGTGTGCCCTTGGTGCCAAGAAGGCGAACAGCATCCTGGGCTGCACTGGCAGGAGCGTTGCCAGCAGATTGAGGGCAGTGATTCTTATCTGTTCAGCACTGGTGAGGCCACATCTGGAGTCCTGTGTCCAGTTGTGGGCCCCACACTTACAGAAAGGATGTGGACACATTAGAGAGAGTCCAGTGGAGGGCAACAAAAATTGTTGAGGGGCTGGGGGACATGACTTGTGAGGAGAGGCTGAGGGAAATAGGCTGATTTAGTCCAGAGAAGGGAAGACTGAGGGAGTTTGAATAGCAGCCTTCACCTCCCTGCAGGGGGGCTGCAAAGAGGCTGGAGCTGGACTGGTCTCAGTGGGGGCAGACAACAGGACAAGGAGCAATGGGCTCAGGTTGCAGCAAGGAAAGTTGAGGTTGGATATTAGGAAAAACTTCCTCCTGAGGAAGGTGGTGAAGCTCTGGAACAAGTTAGCCAGAGACGTTGTGGACTCCCCACCCTTGGAGGTGTTTAAGCCCCAGGTAGACAAAGCTGTGTCTGGGATGATGTAGTTGGGCCTGGTCCTGCTTGGAGCAGGGGGTTGGACTAGATGTGACCTCCTGAGCAACCTTCCCATCCTCATTGTCTGTGATTCTGTGATCTCCACAACTCGATTCTGAAGCCTTTCCAGGGCAGAGTGGAAAATACATGTTGTGTTTCCAGCGTTGCGGATGCAGGGAGCTGGCGTGCAACCTGTTAGCGAACTGCACATCACAGGGCCCCGGTGCTGATTGGACGCAGCTGCATGGAGCGTCACATCTGATTAGCAGCATGCCGGTGAATGGGGCTTGAGTGAAAACTCCCTGCCAGCTCCGACTTGTCTCATTTCCCATTGCTTTTATCCATCACCACAAAGGCCGAGCCCCCTCCTGAACTAATTAAGTTTGCATGTGTTTAGACACATTGCCAAATGGGGTTTAGCAAACCAGAACTGAGCATCTCTGTTTCAGCAGGAAAGGCACGTGGCTGAAATAGCCACGTGGGCAAAACAGTGCAGCGTCTCGGCTATGGCATATTTAGGAAACGCTCCAAAGCAAGGCCCTGCTGTGCCCTGAGAGACTCTTGAGCCAGCCCAGGAAGTGGTGTCATTTCTTCCCACAAAGTGTGCAAATGACTGGCACTGCTCAGCGTGGGGAAGAGGGGTCAGCGACTTGCCCCTTATCACTCTCTGGGGTGAGGCTTGCAGATGTTCTGCACTTGCTAACCTGTGGAGTAGGCAGTGGGGACTTGTCCATGGAGAGGAAGCGATGAGGAAAGTTTTATTGAGACTGAAGAAGGAACAGGCCAAGCAAGAGGGTGACCTGGATGCTGGGATGGCCACCCCCATTCCTGTGAATACAAGCATCTGGAGCAACCCCAAAGGGTCAAGTTGTCCTCGGTGTTCTCCTTGTTTCTCCCAACACCCCCTGTACCCAAGAGTGTGACTGTCTCTTCAAAAGACCACTATGCACTGAGCTGTTGGCATCCCTGTGAGCACTCTGCGTCCTGGCATATGGTAGCCCTGTTTGTAACAGGGCTCCTTTTCTCTGAGCTCCCTTATTGGAAACGTTGTGCTGGAAGGGACTTTCAGGGGCCATCTAGTTAACCTCTGCCTGAGGCAGGATCAGGCCTGTCCAAACCAGCCCAGACAAACCCTGTGTCTGAGCTCTGAGCAACCCGACAGTCACCCCTGACACAGCCCCAGGCATCGCCCCTGCCTCTGGGAAAGCAGAGGGGCTGCGGCTGCCAACATCTTGCTGCTGCTGGGGGGGTTCGTGGACACTGGAGAGATCCCTGGCAGAGGCCATGTCCCCACTGCAGAGGAAGGCAAACCCTCCCAGTCCAGACCAGTCTGAGCAGGGGGAAAATTCCTTTCTGATTGCCGATATGGTATTGGTCTGAGCCTGAGCAGAGGCAAGGCCCTCTATCCAGGACCTTCCTGGTTTAAGTCCCAGCAGGAGCACTGACACAACCCAGTCCCCATTCCCAGCCTGGACTGCAGCCACAACCTGACACTGCTGAGGAAGGAGAAATGATGGTTTCCATTGCAAAATTTCACCCAAGAACTTTGCATGCAGATGCCATGAGGTCGTCTGTGCACCCAGCCCAAGGAGCGGGCTCTGGCCTCTGCCCGGTATTCTTGTGCTGTCGTCCAAGTTTTCCGCTCATCCTCATTCACCCTTCACTGGAACAAGCAGGTGGCAGTGGCATGCAGGGCTGCTTATGGAAGACGCGGGTTAGGGCTTCCCACCCTCTTGTGTTGCTGGGTTGATGGCATAGGGGCAGGCCTGCCTAGCCTGGGTGTCCCCCGTGTACCTGTTGCTGAGCTCAGAGGGTGAAGACAAGTGCCCGGGGCTGCACATTCCTCAGTTGGATCTGTTCTGCACAGTGATAATGACACCAGCTGCATGGATGAGCAGCAGCAGCTGCATGCCTGCCTGCAAGGGGTGCAAGTGTTGGGGTAGTAGGAGGGGGAGCAGCGGTGCCAGTAGATAGAAGCAGGCACAGGTGTAGTCTGGGTGGGTGACAGGTAGGGTGCTAGGTAGGGAACCAAGGCAAGTGGTGGGTATTACCCATGACCCACTAGAGAGTGCTGGTATTTGGGGTTGCCCCAGGTAGCAGAGGCTGTGCAGTCTAAATTTGATGTCAGTTGACCTTAGGGTCTGTGTCTGGGACCCTGCTGCTGGGTACTCAGTGCTTCCCCTTGTCCCCCTTTTAGCTGTATGTATCAGGCAGTTTTTAAGCTTCCCCCAGTGGTGCTGGGTGCTGCTGCAGCCCAGGCTGGGGAT